TGAAGGACAGGCAGCGACTTGACGACAATAAGAACGCAAAACGGAGCTGCCCCGCAAAGTTCCGAATCCTGACGTACAACCTTAGTGCAGCAGGAGTAGGAACGGACCGACTCAATAACTCCCATGGACACCGGCTCGCGCTCCTAATGGACGACCTACAGAAGACCAGTTTCGATGTCATCGGCCTCTCCGAAACGCACTGCTCAGAGGAGAGCCATCACACCTGGAGGGAATGCGGCAAGCTGTTCGGCGCCGAAATACTGCTAGGCCGCCGAGACGACGCCGGAAACAAGGGTGGCGTCGGCTTCATCGTGCACCCTCGCTTGAAGGTCCAATCGGTCACATTCGTCTCAAGCCGCGTAGCAACTCTGAAGGTCAACGTACCTGGGCAGAGAAGACCGCTTAAAATCGTGCAAGTCTACGCACCGCACTCCGGCTACGACGACGAGGCAGTCGAGCAGTTCTACGAAGAACTAACCGAGCAGCTAACAGACCGCGCGTGCCGAACGCTAGTCATCGGGGACTTCAACGCTCGAATAGGACGCAGGCAGAACGGCGAAAAGCACATCGGCGTCAACACTGCCGACGAACGGAATGTACGCGGAGAAAGAATGGCCGCTTTCGCAGAATCGCACCGCCTCCACGTCATGAACACATACTTCGAGAAGCCGAAGAACAAGCGATGGACGTGGCACTCGCCTAGCTTCGACCAGTTCAACGAACTAGACTACGTCCTCTGCGACGACCGCCGAAGCGTCATCAACATCGAAGTCCTCAGCCGGTTTGGATGCGACAGTGACCACCGACCAGTCCGAGCCACGCTCCACCTGGACAAGAAGCGCATGAAGAAATCGCTAGCACTCTCATCCCAAAAGCGCGTGAACATCTTCGACGAGACAACACTCAAGCAAGCCGTCAGAGCGGCGGACTGGACCACCAGCGGCCGAACCAACGAGCGCTACGAGCAGCTCTCCGCCACACTGACCTCCTGCCTCAAAGCCGCGGTGGTGCCGAAAAAGAAGGAATTCCGATCGCGCCTCAGTGACGAGACGAGGAAGAAGCTCAGCACGCTGACCGCCACTAAACCACTGCCGGGGAACGCGGAAGAATACCGAGCGCTAGCCAGAGAAGTGCGTGCTCGCGTCAAAGAAGACCACGCCGCGTACCGCAACCGACGCCTGGTCGAGACGGCCGAAGCCCGAAAAAGTCTGAAGAAATGCGCCCGAGAGCTAGCGCAAGTTCGGCTACTCACCGCCGCAATGAAGGACGAAAACGGTGTACGCCGGACCGACAGACGCGAAATCGAGAGAATCTGCGGCGACTTCTACACGAAACTATTCGACTCAAAAGTGCACGTCGCAAGAGAGCCGAAGGTACCAGACGACGACGCAGACCCGCTCCCGCAGTTCACGTGGCAGGAAGTCGAGGCAGCAGTCGGCAGCATGAAAAATGGCAAAGCCCCGGGCCCGGACGGCATCACGATCGAGACGCTGAAAGCGGGCGGCCCTTATCTATGGAAGGCACTCGCCAAATTCTTCTCACACTGCCTGAAAACTGGCTCAACTCCAGCGCAGTGGAAGGAGTCAAAGACGGTACTGATCTTCAAGAAAGGAGACCCGGAGGACATCGCCAACTACCGGCCGATCTGCCTCCTATCGACGGTCTACAAAGTCTTCACGAAGACAGTGCTAAATCGCCTGTCGCACACGCTTGACGCTGCACAACCGCCAGAACAGGCCGGCTTCAGGAGTGGCTACTGCACGCTAGATCACCTGCAGACCATGAATCAGCTCCAGGAGAAGTCACGCGAATTCGGACGACACCTATACGTGGTCTTTGTTGATTACGAGAAGGCATTCGACAGCGTCGAGATGAATGCAGTGTGGAATGCTCTCGACGAACAAGGCGTAGACCCGCGATATATACGTCTTCTGGAGGAAGCGAACGACGGCTGCACTACCGACATCACGCTCTTCGACGACCCGGTTCGCATCCCCATACGCCGCGGAGTAAGACAAGGCGACACGATCTCACCAAAGCTGTTCACCGCTGCACTTGAATCCGCTTTCCGGGAGCTCAACTGGGAAGCCGACGGACGAGCGGGCGTGTCAATCGACGGCAAGCGAATCACTCACCTACGGTTCGCGGATGACATAGCGCTCATCGGCACCGCGTTCACAGACGTACAGCGCCGTCTCACGCAGCTAAACGATCGCAGCAAGTCACGTGGGCTTCGCATCAACCGGCGCAAAACAGAGTGGTTCGAATACTTCGAATCAAAACAAACGCTCACGCTCG